TTTTAGGGTATGAAAACATTGTTTGAACCAAAAGCAACAACTTGGAACAAAAGCAACAATGAAAATATTATTTACGTTAAAAGGAAAAACCTTACTCTTCTTCTTCCTAAGCTTTTTTTGTACTGATTTGTATTGTCGTTGCTTCTTCCTTCATGATTACTAGTTGTTTATGCTATTGATTTCTGCATTCTCGGCATCTGGTTTTTGTCTTCTGCACCTGTCTTTTTTTTTGTTATGTTTTTTGTTTTGGCTAGGTTTCAAGAACATCAGGTTCTTCTTTTTTTTTTTTTGCTATAGGTTTCTTTTTTTATAAACGACAGCTTTTTTCTCTTTTCTCAATCCCACTCTTTTTCCCCAATGCCCTATTGTATCTTCTTTCTCATGCTACCTTTTTTTTTTCACATATTTTTTTGCTTGATTTTTTTCAACAAAACCAACCCTCATATCTTTCTTTTTCTTTTTAACTTTGCATCTTTTTTCTATTACAATCTCTTTTTTTTCTTGTCTTGAAAACTCTCTCTTTTTCCTTGGTTTTCGACTTCTTCTTAAACTCTAGAAGATTTTTTTTTAAAGCCTCTTAGCCTTTTTTTTTAAGGTTTCAAGGTTTTATTTTTTTCTTGTTCCACTAACCATGTCTCTCGTTATTTGTTACAAGTGTCGTTCCTCCACTTCAGCCCCTCAACTTGTTCCTCATTTCATGTTCCCTGTACTGGCCTCTTTGTTTAGAAAAAAAGCTTTGCTTCTTGATGAATATAGGCTTTTGGACCTTGGATCAAGTTATATCCAAGGGCTAAAGTTTTTTTTTTTCATTTTTCAAGGAACAAGCTTTAACCATCGGATCAAAATTCAAAGTAGATCCAATGATTCACGTTATTTACTGTAAAGGTTGGATTTCTAGCTTCTAAACCCATAAAAAGACCATTATGCCCCTATACAAAGTTTTCGGTATTTAGGTCATTTTCTTAGAAATCAATGTTTCCATCCTCATTTTCAAAATTTTAAAACACCAAAAATTATGAAATATTATAAAATTAAGATTTGAAAAGTTATCCAAGCTCGGGAAAGCCAAAATATAAAAATACCCCTATAAGAGTATTTTGGTAATTTCACACCTCTTAGGCTACTGCTGTGATTTCAAATGCATAAAAAAATCATGAAAATATTATAAAATTGAGATCTAAAAAATTTTGTAAAAATCTAAGCTCGAAAAGGTCAAATTACAAAAATACCCTTATAAGGGTATTTTGGTAATTTTACACTTCTCGGGGTACTGCTGTGATTTAAAATACACCAAAGATCATGAAATATTATGAAATTGAGACTTGAAAAGTTTCATGAAAATATGAGCTTGGGAAGGCCAAATTACAAAAATACCCTTATAAAGGGTATTTTGGTAATTTCACACTTTTCGATGGACTACTATGATTTCAAATGCACAAAAAAATCATGAAATATTATAACATTAAGATCTAAAAAGTTTCATGAACATCTAAGCTCAAAAAGATCAAATTACGAAAATATCTCTATAATGGTATTTAGGTAATTTTGCCTTTCTTAGGGTATAATGAAAATTTTAGTATTTTGAAAAATCTCAAATTTAATTTTAAACCATGTTGATTTCAATTAGGTTTTGAATTTTTAGAATTGACTAAGGCTCTATCCATTTTGACCAAGTTTTGTATAACTTTGATTTTGTTTGACTAGTTTGACCTGAGTAGATTTTGGATTTCTAAATAGGTAAATATGTGAGCTCTTTGTGGGTCATAAATGATCTTCCTAAATGGTGTCAATCTATGTTCACAAATGAGCCTTGGGTCAATCATATTGAAAAATGTTATGGACAAAATTTAATGTCTACAATATTCATTCATATTTGATTCATTTATATTTATTTTTTTTTAGTTTTCTTTCAATTATCTTTTTTCTATCCTTTTTCCAAAGTCAAATGCAACCAGATCAATAGTTTCACTCCTCAATATAAAGCTAAACTCCAGTTCACTTCAGAGGGTAATTGAGGCTTATGTGTGATTAGGGTCACTTTTAGCCTCTCAATCGTGCCTTGAACTTAAAGTGTGATACAATGACAACATTTTTTTCATGCTATATCCCTTTTTATTCACTTGAGGAAGAATCTTTGTGTGGACAATTAGTTTCATTTTACTTATAGGATAGTGGATTATTTTCTACTAGACAATTATCTATTACACTTATAGAAAAATGATGCACATAATTAAAAATAAGTCTCATGCATTCGATTACATTTCATCAAGCATTTGACTATCTTCATCTAGATATATAAACATATTATATGTAAAAGAAAAAATTCAAAATACTTTTACTTAATACTATTTCATATAAAAGTTATTTAGAGAGTTCCATCTTTGTGCTTCCATAGGGATAGGTTTACAACACCTTTCAGCCCCCACAATAATTTTATTGCGAAAGTTGATTTACGTATTTACTTTACGTAAGAACAATCAAATGTACTAATAAGGCTCCATACAACTTAATAAAATATGTATACAAATATTTTTCAAATATTTATTTATAAAAATATTATTTGACATGTATAAATAGTTTTAATAATTTTTAATAATTTATTAATTTCACAAATATTAAATATATACTATAAACTTCATTATATATAAATTTTAATCTAATGTCTTTAATGATAATTTTCTATTCTCACTGTACTTCGCCTTATAGTCACCTTGTGTTTGTATTCAAACACATATTTAATTACTGATTTTATTCTCATTACTAAGTAACTAATATATCACCATCACTTTTTCATTCTTATTGAAAACTATTCTCATCATTCATATAAATAAAACATGAATCAAAGGGATATCACATAGTTCAAAAATCAATAAGCCTTATAGTTAAATTGATTCAATCAAAATTGAACCAAAATTTGTTAATTTAATCATTATTTAACATTTTAATGATTATGAAGATAAAAGTATATTTAAATCAAGTCAAATTAATACATTATTATGCTTGAGCTCAACTCAATTTAAAAACTTGTAGCTCAAATTGTAATTGGAGATTGATCAAGCTTTTTCTATGCTCGATTCATAATCTACTTAAAATACTCAAGTTCGATTCGATAAATTTGATTTGATTTGAAAACATTATAATTGTGAATATTAAATATTATATATTTACCGTTACATATTTGTACTATTAATATATATTATAAAAAATTCAATTAAACTCAATTAGACTTGCAAACATCGTAAATTAAGCATTAAAATAATCAAATTTGGCTCGATTTTTACTCAAGGGTGATTTTTTTCTTTTTACTTTTTTTATTTATTTTTTGATTAGATAAATTTTGTAAAAAAAATAATATCAAATAGAGATGTTCATGTAGCACTCCCATTTGTTTATTCCTTTCATATTTTTTTGCTTTCTTTTTTATGTTTTTCAATTTAATAAATTTTACAACAAACTAAGTCAGTTGATAAAGATGACAAAACAATCAATGTCTGATAAGTTTCGATTTATCTTGATTATGAGTGTTTTGTAAAAAATTGGTATCAAATTAAGTTGGGTCGATTTTTGTTTAAGAAAGCAAGGATGGATTAGAAAATGGATTAAGAATATTCCAACCCAACCTACTCATGATATATCTAAGAATATATATTTTGTTATCTATTTAATTATATATATGTATTATATTAATAAAGTTATTATTTTATATTTTAATTTAAGATATTAACATTTTAAACTAAATTTAGGTATCCGCAAGGCACCTTAATAATCTTTCTTTTCCCTTTTTTTCATTTTCTTTGTTTATTTTTCTTTTTTCCTCTTTCTTGCTTTTTTCCTTTTTCAATTTTTAAATCAATAAAGTTATTATTTGAAACTTTAATTTGATATATTAATATTTTGAGCTCAATTGGATGTCATGTTATACTCTCAAAGAGCTTCATTTCCACTTTCACTTTTTGTTTTTGTTTTTGTTTTTATTTTTATTTTATTTTTATTTTCATTGTTTAAATGAAATTAATTTAGTGAAAAAAGGAGATCAATGAAATTATTCATGTGACACTTCCATTTGGTTTTTTTCTTTTGTATTTTTTTATTTTTTAATTCGATAAATTTTATAATAAAATTGGTTAATTGATAGAGATCCTAAAAAATTTGTATTTGACATGTTTCAATATATCTGATCCAATAGGAGACTTTTTTTTTTTTAAATTGATTTCAAGTTGAGATGAGTTAAATTTTTTTAAAAGAAATGAGATCGAAGCTGAAATATGTTTAAAGTGCTCTCTCCTAACCTATTTTAGGGTATATATAAACTATATGTTTTGTTATTAATTTTATTATATATTATATTAATAAAATTATTATTTAATCTTTAATTTAAGAAATTAATATTTTAAGTTTTTTATGAGCTCTTTTTATTATTTTGGTTTTTTTGTCTTTTACATTTTTTTGATTTTATTTTTTAATTAAATAAAATTTGTAAGAAAATGTAATTAATTGAAATATTCACTCGTCACTTTTATTTGATTTTTTTTAATTTTTAATTAAATAATTTTTACAAAAAACCTTGATAAATTAAAACAATAAAAATAATAAAAGTTTTTTAACTCATGACAATACGCGAATATCGTGCTAATATAGATAAAGAACACTCTACGGAGAATTTTGGAAAGGTAGGCTTGTTTTTTTTTTTTTTTTCCTACTGGAGCAATGAGGAGGAACAATTTGGAACCGTTGGAACGGGAACATTGACAGAGATGAAAGCCCACTTTCAGTATTACACTCCAACGGTACTAAAAATTATGACTGCTGTATTTGATTTTCCCCCTCCCCCCACCCCCCCCCCTTTTTTTTTTTTTCAATATGCAACTCATAGAAGCACCACCAAAGCACTGTCAATTACAGTAGTAGGTCCCCATTGCAGCTGGCTTTTTTCATATTTAAAAAAAATAGAAAACAGTAACCAAACCCTACTTTGGTTTCTTTTCTACTTATAACAGGAGTACCAGAGTTACTGCTAAGTGTTGGTCAGGCTCTTCCTTTGCTCTTTCCCACTCTTGCACGCTCCGTAAAACCCCCAAGGTTTCAGCCATGGAGACAATGCTGAGATCTCTGCTAACTTTCGCAGTCTTCATTCTTCTCTTCTCCCACATTTCAGGTGCTCTCTTACTCTCTGTCATCTTTTTCCAAGATCCACCGATTCTATACAATGCAAATGCTTTTTGTTTTCTCCACTCCAATCATTAATGTTTTCTGTTGATTCGACTTTGTTTTAAAAAGTTGGATAGACCACTTCAGAGAAATTCTGTTTTGGGTAGTGTTTGCTCTTGATGAGCTTCTTCTTTTAACTTGGTTAAAGCTCACATTTCTTGGATAAACTCCTTTTTTGCATAGCTTTTTGTTTTCTTTGGCATTTGGACATGTCTGTACTTCAAGCTCCATTATAAGCATTAGATATGCGTTTTAGACAGATTCTTTAAACTTTTTATAACCTTTGTTTTTGTTTTAACAGTTGAGATATCAGCAACAACAATAACACTCTACAACAAGTGCCCTCACCCAGTGTGGCCAGGGATCCAACCAAGTGCTGGAAAGCCTCTTTTAGCCCGCGGTGGCTTCAAGCTTCCACCCAACAAGGCCTACTCCATGCGTCTCCCTTCCCTCTGGTCAGGTCGTTTCTGGGGTCGCCACGGCTGCTCCTTTGATACCTCTGGACGCGGCCGCTGCGCCACAGGGGACTGCGGTGGCTCCCTGTTCTGCAATGGCCTTGGGGGTACCCCTCCTGCAACCCTGGCGGAAATCACCCTCGGTCAGGAGCAAGATTTTTACGACGTCAGCTTGGTGGATGGGTACAACATAGCCATGTCAATAACTCCTTTTAAAGGATCAGGCAAATGCAGCTATGCTGGGTGCGTTAGTGACTTGAACTTGATGTGCCCTGTTGGTTTACAAGTGAGATCAAGGGATAACAACAGAGTAGTGGCTTGCAAAAGTGCTTGCTTTGCTTTCAACTCGCCAAGGTATTGCTGCACTGGGAACTTTGGGAGTCCTCAGTCTTGCAAGCCAACTGCCTATTCGAAGATTTTCAAGGCTGCTTGTCCAAAAGCTTATTCCTATGCTTACGATGATCCCACCAGCATTGCCACTTGCTCCCGGGGCAGCTATTTGGTCACTTTCTGCCCCCATCACCGCTAGATTTTAGGCTAATCGGTCCATAATCATTTGTTATTTTATACAGTACTCACTAATTAGCATCAAATTTGGATGTTATATCTACTCCTGTTCTCTCCAATCTCTATATTATATTGCTTTCTCTGTAGTGGGCTTTTATTAACAGAAACATTATATTATATGTATGGCGAATTTGTCTGCTTTTCTGCTTAGATCTGCACATTTAATTAGACTTGAATAGAGAATATCTGGGTGGTGTTGGCCTTTGGCGAGTGGGGGACTTGGGGTCGTACCCCTAGCCTCCTCGAGTAGTTGAGCTGCGGTTTTAAATCTTTAGATGAATTCACTAGGGAAGCCAAAGGGAGAATTACAAAAACGTATGGTCTATTACACATTTTTATTAATCGGTATTATAAGAAAAAGTTATTACTTGGAAGGAAATGATAAGTTTTTAATTTATAAAAAAGAAAATGACTTTGCCTATATTGACCCTAATTTAAAGAATGGAAAAGAGGTTTTTCTTTTCTACTATCCCAGTAACCCATCCACTCCCACCAAACAACTTAAACCTAGACATAATTTTTCGTATATTTGTTTTTGAAAAAGGCGTCATCTCTCTCTTCCCCTACTCTGATGCTACCCGTAGTAACGTGTCTTTTTTCATTTCCATTCTTCATGATTCTTTTTTCTATCCTCAGATAGCCTTTTTTTTTTTTTTTTTTTTTCGAGTTTTACATCTCTGAAATGACTGTTGTAGTGAAATTATTTCACCCAATATTGATTCTAATAATGCCTGACTGAGCTATTATGAATTGGGCATTCATTGATGAGTGGAAACTTTAATTCTGTCTTTTTTTTTTTTTAATTTACTAAGAAATTTACTACAATTAAATTCCGTTGAGACTTCAAAACTATTACTGTAAAGCACCAAATTCAACTGTCTTTGTTGAATATATAATGTATTTAAAACGTATTGTCCAACTATTGTTTTTTATTTGTTAAGCAAAAAGCTAAAAGTATGTTTGGAGCTAAAAACAATAACAAGACTTTTTAATTATTAAAATTTAAAATTTTATTATTTTTGGATAAATGCATGCCTTTTTTATTTTTTTTTAGAATAATTGTGTTAGAATTTGTGTTGCATTTTTTCCATTTGTTCTTTTTAATCAAGAAGCAAAAGCAACAATCAATTTAAGTCTTTGCATTCAAAGAAGTCAATAAACTGCCTTAAAAACATAATTTTGTTTGTTATTTATGTAGGGTTCTTTGTTACAAATATCCCAACAAGTTTTCGGTGGCATTTGGTTAGAGAGAATTTACAAATATTTTTTTAGAATCTTGATAGTGAGTATTTGGTTTTTACGTTTAGTTTAAGATAATCTAATTACAGAAAAAATGATAGATTTTTAATAGTACTCAAAATCTCAGAATAAAAAACTTACATTTCCTTGTGGGATTCTAGGATTCTAGGGAGAAAGTTACTTTCTTTTCAAATTTGACTTAAATAAAAAATTATAAAAACGTCATTACCATTTTGAAAAGTATGTCTGGAAGTGATTGGAACTTAATTGTAGGTTTTTGTAAAGAAATTTTTTTTTATATTGCAATTAAGGCGTTTGGCATGTAGAAATATCTTAAATAATCCTTTGCTATTTTTATAAATGGATTATTTAAGATGTTTTTGTACAGAAAACATCTTAAATAATCTTTTTATATTTTAGGATTTAGGATTAATATTTTTATAAAAAAATTATTTAAGGCATTTTTAATCTTTTTATATTTTTACAAATAGATTATTTATAAAAATACCTTAAATAATCTCTTCATTTTTTAAAAGAGATTATTTAAGACGTTTCTAAATAAAAAATGTCTTAAATAATTTCTTTTATTTTTTTAAAGGGAATTAAAAAAGAGATTATTTAAGACGTTTCTAAATAAAAAATGCCTTAAATAATTTTTTTTATTTTTTTAAAGGGAATTATTTAAGGCATTTTTGGACCTAAATAATGCCCTTTAACAAATAAATCAACATTATTTAAGGTGTTTTTGGATAAAAATACATTAAATAATACCACAAAATTTTAAAAATGTATTATTTAAGGCGTTTTTAGACTAAAAGCCTTAAATAATCTCATGATATTTTTTAACGGGGATTATTAAGGCATTATTGGTTTAGAAACGCCTTAAATAATTTTTTTAATTTTTAAAAGGGGACTATTTAAGGTGTTTCTAGATAAAAAATGTTTTAAAAAATATCACAAATTTTTTTAAAAAGCATTATTTAAGGCTTTTTTATATGAAAATGCCTTAAATAATGCCATCATATTTTTTAAAGGACATTATTTAAGACAACCAAAAATGTCTTAAATAATGCTCTTTAAAAAAATGAGAAAACCATTTAAGGCATTTTTAGACAAAAAATGTCTTAAATAATTTTTTTTATTTTTTTAAAAGGCATTATTTAAGGTGTTTTTGGTCCAAAATCGCCTTAAATAATACTCTTTAAAAAATAAAAAAGATTATTTAAGGTGTTTCTGGTTAAAAAATAAATTAAATAATCCCTTTTAAAATATTAAAAGAAATGATTTAATTAAACATGATTATTTAAGCCGTTTCCTAGCAAAAAATACCTTAAATAATTCATAATATTTTTTTATTGATGATATTTTATAAATAAAAATAACAATCATAAAAATATTTGTTTTCTTTTGCTATTAAAGGCATCATTTATTGTTGGGGTATTTATTATTAATAAAAGTTAATGAAAAGTTACCATCATATATGTCAAGGAGATTATGGTAATTATTCAAGAATTAATATACGTGGATTCCTTTTAACTAAACGAGTGAATCTGAATATGGGATACCCTAAAATTGAAAGAAAACCTAAGGCATCGCATTTTTTCGGGTATCACACTTTCATCTAGAATCTATAATTTCATAAACCAAACGCCTCCTTCAAGTTAAGAAAGAATTAAATTTAGAAGAAAGGCAGTTGTTTTTAATAAAGCAATTTAGATTGAATTGTTTAAGGCACACGGACACGAATGTAAATGCTTAAGTTTTCGTTTATTCTATAAAAGAGTGCTCAACTAGTTTGTGCCATTCTTTTATGGTTTTTTAATTTATTAGACCTTGGTTTCTATAATTGCTATTTTATTGATTTATTTTATATGTTGCAGAACTAGATGTTAAAGAGCAGAAGCCTAGCATTTCTACATTATTGGTGAATATTGATAGTAAGTTTGATCCATATTGTGCAATGAGTATGCTGCTTTACCAAACAAGTACATTAAGAATATAAACCTATTAAGATATTTAACTTGCATTATCTTTTAATTGTTTATCTATATGCAACACTTGGGGAACAAAGGGAAATTTAAGAATTTGTCTACTTTATCAGTAGAATGGTTGCTTTGTGTTAATCTTGAATTCAAATTTATTTTGAAATGATAAATTATTAAAGTTAAAATTTTAATTTAATACTTGTTTTTAAATTGATAAATCTATTTGTACTAAATAAATAACAATGTTTTATTTACAAAATTAGGTTAAATTGCTTCAAACTCAAAAAAGAATTTGCAAGTAGATTTTTGAATTAAAAATGATTTGAGAACAAACCAACCTTATCTCCATTAAGATCAAGTTTGATACAAAATTAAGAAAATGAGATTGATCCCTTTTAGATTGGATTGATCTTTCCTGAAACAAAAAGTAAAACTTTTGTTTAAAACCCAAACTATTAGAAATTATTTTATTATTGATGGAATTTTATTGACGAAATTTTTTTAGTAATAATTATCAATGGATTATCGATGGAATATAATTGTAAAATAGTTTGACTATCGTTGATGGAATACTGATGGATTTCATTCCGTAGGTAATCTATAGGTAAAAATTTAGCAGGAGTTAGCACGAAAATTATTGATGAAAAATTCTATTGGTAATCCGTCAATAATTATTTTACCTACGGATTACTGATGAAAAAATTTCGTCGCTAATAAACTTTTTGAAAAAAATTTGTTTAAAAGGGCCGATTATTGATGAAATTTCCATTGGTAATTTGCAATTTTCCCTTGTTTTCAAAATTCCTAAACTCTTTCTCATTTTTCTGCCTCTTTCCTCTTCTCCACCATGACTTTCCCCCTCTCCAACCTTACCTATCTCTTGCAACTATTTGGTCATTGTCACTTTCAAGCTCCACCACCGTCCTCTCCTTGACCGTTTTCCATTGTGGACAATCTCCCCTGATAGTAATCCATTTGATTTTTCAAGTTTTTTGTTATCTTGTTTGATTAAGATTATTGTTTAATTTTTTTCTTATCTTGTTTGAATGAGATTAAGATTGTGCTATGATTCAAGAGGGATTTTCAACTCATATTTTTTTTTGTACTTTTTTATATAGGAATTTGATTTTTTTTAAAGTTTTATGTTTTCAAGATTGATAATGATTGTTGAATTAAAAAATATTGTATTAGTAGGGTTTTTAAGTTTTTTTTTTTTATTTTTTTTTATTTTTTTTATAGATTTGTTGAGCATTATTGACTTTTATAAGTGTAATGTTGATTTTATGGTAAATTTGGGTTTGATGTGTATTAAGATTTATATTTTTTTTCAAAATTTTTTATATTTGATATTTGTTAAAATTTAATAATAATTATTGAAATAAAAAATTATTGTATTGATAAAAGGTTGGTAAAATTTATAATATTCAATGCTATTATAAGTTGATGTATCTAATTTTTTTTTTTTTAATTTTAGGGTGTTAAATAAAAAAATATTATGAAGGTTAAATGGTAGAAAAAAATTAAATTAAATGTTGTTATGATTTATAAGTTAGTGTATAATAGTTGTTGGATTTATTTTTTATTTTTTTCATAACTCTTAATATGAATGATTGATCAAACTTAATTTAAACAAATTAAATTTGATATTTCATAATTATATTATTTTTAGATATAATTTACAAATTTTTTTGTACATAATAAAATATAAAATACATTTAGATCTCCTAATCATATGAAAATAAGTGGATCAAATTTAAGAAAGAAGATTATAAGAAAATAAAAAAGAGTTGTTATTGTTCAATTATGTTTATATGGCATCGAGGAAAACATCAATGTTTCTATTTTTTTTCTTTTCCATAATCTTTGTGAATGTGTGTTTTGAATGCAAGTTTAGGGTGGATGTATATTCTATAATGAATATGCTTTTT